CGCCGGGCTGGAGAGCTTGGCGCGTCTGCGCACTGGGCTCCTTGCCCGACCAGGCTCCCGGGGCCTCCCGAAGCTGCGCGGTGGGCAGGACCTGCCAGGTTCGGGCCGGGCCGATTGTCGGCGGAGCGCCCCGGGAGCTTGGAGGCCCGGGAGCCTGGAGGCGGGGGTCAGTGCAATCGGCGGTCAGTGCAAACGGTGGTCAGCCAGAGCGCCCGATCTTGCAGGATCCTGCAGGGCCAGGGTCGCATTGGCCCAGGCTTGGGTGCAGGATCCTGCAGGATCTTGCAGGATTGGCCCGGGCTTGGGCGCATGATTCTTCAGGATTTTGCAGGATTCTGCAAGGCCTGACTGACCCGGGTCTGCATTGACCCAGGTCAGATGATCCCCGGCTCCTTGGGGGTGAATCGAGCAAGAAGAGCTGCACAAACATAAGCCTTCTGGAGTTTCGGGCGGATTTCTTGGATCGGCTCTGGGCCCCCCTGGCGGCGCCTCTGGCACCGCCTCTGGCGCGCTACGCGCGCCAGGCAGAGGGGTTCCAGCGCAGTTCCGAGACATCTGCGCGAATCTCGGAGCGTTTATGTTTTGTTCAGTTGGCTTCCCCCTCTGGGGAAGACAAAGGGGCGGGTCTTCTCAAGAAGCCCCCTCGGCGCGCCGCCGAGAACGTCGGTGTTGTTCGTCCTCCTTGGGCCAAGGCCTGACTGCTGTGGAGGGCGGGCGACACCAACCAGGGTGGCCTGGGGAGAGACGGAGAAACAGACTGGTGGCGGAGGAGGAGGGGGCAGCAGACGGAGGAGCTGAGGGAGGACGAGGAGAGCAAAGGAGCCTGGCACTGGCCCCAAGTCCTGCATAGCCCAGCGCATTCCGAGGCAAGCGTTGTCATGGAAATGGTCGGCCGCGTTCGTCACCCCGCCGGCTGTATCTGGTTGTATCATAACGAATCGCGTATCCCCACTAGCCTTCCAGGAACGATGCCTAGGAGCTGACCTTATCGGGAGAGCGTGGCATCATTTGGATACCTCGGGGCGCCTCAGTGAACTAGAGGCTTCTTGGATGCCTCCCGGAGTCGTTTGGGATGAGCCCTGTGGGGCTCTTGGTGGCCTCTTGGGGCGTCTTGGGTTTTTTGTTGGGGGCTCTTGGAGGCCTACTGAGGCGCCTTTGGGGCATCTTCGGGGTTTCTTGGGAGGGGCCTCATGGGGCCTCTTTGGGAGCCTTCGAGGCCTTCTTGGGACCGTCTTGGAGTGCATCGATCAAAGCAGGGGGGTCCTCAATAAGCGTCGCTCCCCAGGCGGCCAACATTGGCCTAAAACCTGAAAATCGCAAATGATGTCTGCCTTTCGCTGAGGCCTTCATGGACGCTCCAACGACCAGCGACCCCCTTCCAGATCCAGGGGAGGGGGGAGGGTGAGGGGTAAGGGCCTCCCCGAAGGGGAGGAAGAGGATTGGAAGAGAAAACGCTCTAGACCAGCTGCGCCCTGAAGGGCTGGTGGGATTCGGCTCTTGATGTAGGACTCTCTTTGCTTTGCAGCGCCTGGCTCGTCTCGAGAAGTGTACACATATGACAGGGGGACGGTATGGGTCCTGAAGAAGGAACCCGTTTCGTTGGGGAGGGGCTCCGTGTTCCTTGATTGTTTCATAGATTGCCTCAGGTTTTCCTAAGGTTGTCGATGGGAAATCGAAGCTTAACTTATGGGAATCGAGGGGCCTCGTGCCTTATGTAGGGTTCCTTCGATCAACGCCCCGACTGCATGGGCCCGCCGGGGCCCGGCCCGCCTCTCGGCGGCCCAAGATCGCCCCTGGAGAGCCACCAGACGGCCGTCCAATTGGCCCACGATTTGGAAGTTGGGCGAGGGCTGGCAAATCCGTGGCTGCTAAAACGGTCTTCCCGGAAGCAGAAGAAGCAAATTTCTGGAATAAAACTCAGCGCGCTAAGTAGTAAACGGGCTGCTTGTCGCGTGTCCTCCCTCCGTTCTCTTTTCCAGACTCTCCTTGCCATTACTTCTGATTGTTCAGCGGCAGGGTGTCGCCAGCGGGTGAATCGATATGCCATTCGCGCACGGGCGTGTCAGGCTGCTGGGCCGATTTGCAGGTGACCTCAGCCTGCAGGTGGCATCGCCTCTGCTGACCAATACCGCCTTTGAACCGTCCAAAATTGGCCGACGGGAGTTCTCCAGGGCCACCTGAGCCGCAGGGACCAAGGATTACCGCGCCAAGCAGAGCCCAAAGACCGTAACAGGCATTCAACAAGCCCCTTTCGAAGGCCCCCGAGACGGCCCCAAGACCGCTGTGGCGGAATTTGCCGCGGGCGGCAGCGAGGGAAGGAGGGTTTCGGAGGCACGGCGGTAGGGATGGTGGATCGAACGAAGGAAAAGAACGACAAGGAACGGGAGGAGGAAGAAGGGGTGGAGAGGGAATGGATGGGTTTGAGGGTAGGAGAATGCAGGACAAGCGGCGATTGGGATTTGTTGCGGTGCACACGTGGGGGCAAGCAGGGGGTACAATTTACGGTTAGTGTTCGAACGGCGTGTTGTTCATGACGCGCGTTTGGTTCGTTTTCGCCTCTCCGATATTGCACACAGTAGGACATAGCCACAGCTTGCTAGAACCTGAAAGCGCGCGTGGTTATTTTCATGTAAGCCAAATCTTGGGTGACTGTGCTTGCTAGTTACCGTGCTTCGCGCTTCATGGATCATATATCTTTTTTGGTAGCGATATGCTGGATATCGGCAGATATTTTGTTGAGTTGGCCCGTCCAGCAGTTCACGTGTTGTGGAAGGGAGGGAAGCTGGAGGTGGCATGGGGAGGTGGACGGAGGAGGGATGCGGCAGAGAAGAAGCAACAGGGCGGAGAAGGAAGCCAGCGGCTTCCAAACTCAATCACGTTCGGTGCCCGTTGTTGATCTTCTTGTCTGCTTGCTGTGCGATTCGACTGCCGTCTTGCCAGGTTCCACCGCCTACATGGGATGCGTTGGCAAGGACACGCGAGCTTTCAAATTCGCCGCCGCTGTGGTTGCCGTCGGATGCCTGGCTGGCACAAGAACTCATGGGCCACTCCATCGGCAAGTCCTTGATTCGTTGTCTGGGGTTGGTTCTTCCTGCTCCCAAAGTGCCTTACTCGTGTGGCCACGGTTGGTTGCGGCAGAATGCCCCCCTCGATTATTGCCCCGATGGCTCCAGGGTTTGGGGTGCCCAGATGTGGGCAGGCGAAGAACCTAGCTGGAGGCTCCCGCTTCCTTCTTCCAGGGGCGGGTGCCCGGATGGGGGCAGGGAAAGCACCCAGTCGGATGCTCACACCCGAGAGGCCGTTTGGAGCGATTTTCCTCTGACACCACCTTCTGTCTCCCGCCGCTCTTCCCCCACCCACCCTCCCTTCCCCCCTCCTCCATGCCCCTTCCCTCGATTGGCAGTTTGGTTTAGCAGGTCTGCAGACTGCAGCTGCATCGGGCAGGCAGTTCATTCGTGAGCGCCAGGCTGAGTTCGGTTATGATGTTGCGAAGGTGTGCCCCATGTTGCCAGTCTTCGGGAAAAATGTATTTCAACAGAGTCTGGGCCTGGCCATGTAATGTGGGTGTGCATGAGTTTGAGAAGAGTGCCAGTATGCCCCCACAGGCACAGGCCTAATAGGAGCAGTGCCAAGAGTTGTGGCTTCGAGGCATTTCCCCTAAGTCGTTCATGCACGTCATGGTTCCTCCTGAGGAAGATGTCCGCGCTTCGGGGCCCACCCCCGTCTACGGCCGAGTGGTGGTTTTTGGTGACAGGTCGGGGGGGACCGCACAGCGCGGACCCTCGTAGGAGAGGATGCGGGGCTTGCTCGACGGGCAAGAGGGCTGGCGACAAGCTTGGGGGCTCTCTGCCCCCGTTGGAGGGAGCAGGCAGACACTTCCTCGCTCAGCGTTGCTAGCGTTTGCGCTGGCGGTCGACAATGTAGTGCAGGGTTTTTTGTTGATCACGGACCATGAACCATTGGTCAAAGCGTGGACCAGGAACCGACATCGGGAGAAGGACGGTGCGAACCAGGACACTTGGTCCAGGCTCCGAGCTGGCTCCCGCGAGAAAAAACACCGAAAGTGCCCTAAAGTGGATCCCATCTTACACGGACGAAGCACTGCACATTGGCGCTGACCTCTTAGACCCCTTTCTCATTCTGGGCAATGCCCTGGCTGATGTGGAGGCGGGACCAGCGGCTGGTAAGGGGTGGGAGACGTCGGTGGAAGGAGGCAAACCAAACGCAGGCCATTGAGATGCCGCTTGCATCCTGGTGCGAGCTCGTGCGCGACGAACGCTGGCCATGGCGGCAGAGGCTGACCAACGGAGCAGAGAGCGAGCCTCGATTGCCCGAGGGCCGCCCCCGTCAAGACTCAGAACCGCCATAGTCAGAAGGGAAAACAACACACGGACACAATTAATCGCCGATTCCCAGGAAAATATGCAAACATATGGAAACATACGGGTAATCCTGGGATATGTGTGTCTTTATTTGTGTGTCCTTGGGCACCTTCACGTAGCTGCCTGAAGCGACCCATGGGAGAAGGCATGAGGCGTCATCTGGCACTCGATTGTGTGCAGGATTGTCGTGCCAGCCTCCGGGGATGTCCGAGCTGCTTGCACGATCTGACGCGGCCTCTCTCTCTCCTCCTCCTCCCCCTCCTCCTCCTCCTCCTCCTCCTCCTCCTCCACCTCCTCCACCTCCTCCTCCGCGTCCTCCTCCGCGTGCGTCCTCCTCCTCCTCCTCCTCCTCCTCCTCTCTCTCTCTCCTCCGCGTCCTCCTCCTCCTCCTCCTCCTCCTCCTCTCTCCTCCCTCCTCCTTCCTCCTCCTCCTCCTCCTCTCCTCCCTCCTCCTCTCCTCCTCCTCCACCTCCTCCTCCTCTTCTCCCCCCCCTCCTCCTCCTCCTCCTCCTCCTCCTCCTCCTCCTCCTCCTGCGGGGGCAACGTGCAGAGGTATGCGCACCCACGTCATGCCGCTCAGCGCCCGTTCCCCTCCCCCCCCCCGGCCGCGGGGGCGAGGCGCTCGGCCTCCGCGGGCGGCCGCGCCGCGCCGGATGCGCTTGCTGTGCCGAGCCGCCTGCGCCGGATCGGGCGTGGGGGCCTGCCTGCCGCGCCGAGCCTCGGGGCAGCCGGCCACGCGCTCTCCGGCGTCCTCGGGCCGGCCTGCCGGCCGCGCCGAGCCTCGGGCCGGCCTCGGGCCGGCCGGCCTCCCTCCTCGGGGCGCCGAGCCTCGGGCCGGCCTGCCTGCCGCGCCGAGCCTCGGGGCTCTGGTGTTCGCCGGACTCGCTACTCGGGACGATCGGAACGTGGCGAAGCGTCCCGGCGTGCCTGTAGCCCTACCAGACAATGTTCTGAGAACCTTTTTGTGGTTTCCAGGAAATGTTCTTAGAACAGTTCTGGCGGAGTCTGTCTTGTAATATCACATCGAAATTATGTTCTAAGAACATGGTTTTTGTTCGTAGAGCATGTTTAGGTTCTAAGAACATTTCGTGGTAGGACTGTAGGAATGCCCGGGACGATCGGAACGGGCACGTAAAGAATGGGTACAATGCCCAACAGCAGATCCTGTTTCATTTTGAACAAGGCTCGCTGTCCGCGCCGCCGCGGACGATGTTCTTGGAAGACAAAGAGCTGCCTACGCAACAGCGGCCGCTGCTGGTGTTGGACAGGTTGTGCGGCACTGTACCCACTGTTTCCGTACCTATTCCGGGCGTCCAAATCGTTGGGCTCCTGGCACTCAGGGGAATAGGTTTTCGCTGCACACCCTGCCTGGGATTTCCAGGAAACTGTCCTGGGGTCTCGTTTTATCCTAATCCCCCTTGCTTTTTTTTTTTCCCCCAAGCAAGTTGACCGCGCCCCACCGTGTGGCTGAGGAGTGCGGCCGTGGCGAGCGTCGGCTTCCGCCCGCCCTGCTTGCCCTGCCGGAGTGGCTTTTGGAGTTTTTCTTGTTTCCCTCCTCCTCTTCCTCCTCCTCCTCCTCCGCCCAGGCAGGCATCACTGCTCCGGCTGTGCCGGTGCAGCTCGCGTCTAGTGCCAGCAGCCGCTCGGCCGCATTGGTCGTCGCGTTTTTGCTCGCCCTCCTTCCCCCCCGGCGCTCTCGCCTCCTCGCTCTGTTCCTCTCCTTTTCTGCATGCGGCACGATCGCCCATCTTTTAGGCCACGGTTCAGTGCATGTGTTTGCCGACCGAAGGTAGGCTCGCGTGGTGTGCGTTTACTTGGCAACTTTTTGACCTGCACAGCTGTCGAGGCCGAGTCGTGTGAATCTTTGTGGTCGGGCCCCCCTCTACTTCAACAGAGAATCCAGCGCCGGAGATTTTGTACCACGTGCGAGAAGCACGCAATTAGGGTCACCACCACCCACCACTGAGCTGAGCCATGCATCCTGCAGGACGCGTGGGCGGAAGAGTGCACGAATGGCAACTCCTCGGATAAATCATAACAATGCGAGAATGCGGCACACCATTGAACCGGTAAATGAGTGGTGGGGCCCCGGCTGAGAATCGGGGTTGCGACAATTCGGCCGCATTTCCCAAGGACGCGCCGTTATGATAGGGTCTTCTCGTGGAAAACACGGTTGCGACACTTCGGCTGCATTTCCACAAGGCGGGGCGGTTACGACAGACGACAGAATACGCCTATCCTGCTGAAAGCGAGGCAGGCGAATAGGCACAACAATGTCTGAGAGGCGGGAAAATTGTAGGAGGCATGGGGCAGGAGCGCGGCGAGGACAGGGGCAGAAGGAGGAGAGAGGAGGGGAATATTGCCGAAAGGAGGTGGCCCATCGCTGCCGCGGCCGCCCGCGCTCCCTCTGGGAAGCCCATCGTCTGGGAAAGCCGTCGTTGTTACAGAGTGTCGATTTCGCTAAGGAAGAACCACCTCCATTCGCGATCTTGGTGCACGACGCCATTTGCTTCTCAAATCGTATGACAGAAAGCGGCTTTGCTCCGGCCTTTTCCAGCACGGCGGCGTTGGTGACTCTGGATATGTACGACGGCGGAATACCCAGTATCTTCCGTATGCATTGAATCGGAGAACAAACAATGACAGAAGCAGAAACATTCGGGGGTCCGCGCGGGATTTCTCGGATCGGCGCTGGACCCCCCTGTCGGCGCCATAGGCACCGCCCTGGCGCGCTCTGCGCGCCAGGGAGGTTGGTCCAGCGCCGATCCGAGAAATCCGCGCGGACCTCAGAGTTTTTATGTTTATGGCATTGTTCGTTACCCTATTGAAGTCGCATCGAGGGGGGCAAGTGGCGAGTGCCGCATTCGTGATGGGGGGGGTCCCACAGCAGCAGCCCCTGCTGACCGACGAGCGGGGGCCGCAATTGGCGGGGGCCGTGCGCGGCCCCGTCCGCCACGGCAACTGTCCCGACCCCCCCGCTTGGGGGGAAGGTTGGACGGGCTGCTGTCGGGGGCGGCAAAGATCCGGCGATCGCAAACATGGATCAAGGGGGCGTGGATCAGCGACGGGTCCCGTTTCCATAGGAAATCGCTGATTTCCGCCGCCGAGCGAGGCGATACCTCCCCAGATTTCATGACGCCCCTTCTTGTTTCATTGCGTCCCTGGCCCCCCCCCTGGGCCGCGCACATGCCTTGGGCCATGATTTTCACCCTCCCTCTTGGACGCCCCCCTCTTGGACGCCCCCGAGGTTGGACGGGTTGCTGTGGTTGAGGAGGTGCCCAGGCATTGAATCTGCCTGTGTTAATAAAATAACGAAGGATGACATAGAGAGAAAAACTCTGAGGTCCGCGCGGATTTTTCAGATCCGCGCTGGCCCCCTCCGCGCGCCAGGGGGGGGGGGTCCAGCGCTGATCCGAGAAACCCGCGCGGACCTCAGAGTTTTTATGTTTGTGTCATTCTCCCGTGTTCTGCCCGTGTTAGGTTTTCGCCGTGCTGGGCTCGTTCTCGCTCCCTTCCCTCCCCTCCCGCCCCCCACCCCTCGCGCGACCCCCCTGCGCTGAGCCAAAAGGTCTGAGAGGGCCCTCCCCCTGCTCTTCCTCCTCTCTCCTCCTCCCTGCGCCCTCCCTCCTCTACAGGCGGCCCGGATTAGTAGGTCGACCCTGCCAGATCAAGGGTACCCTCGTGTCCTGTGTCTTGCGACCCGTGCCTCCTGCATTTCTGTTGCAACGTGGCCCTCGGAAGGGTCTTGTGTCCTCTCGCGTGTCCTCTCCAATCGAGCCCGACTGTATCCCTCACCCGCCCCCTCCTTTCAGCGTGCGATCTGGACGGGCGCCCAGCACACCTCGCGCCCGCCCCCCTTCTCCTCCTCCTCCTCCTGTGGCTGGTGCATGGTATGAGTCGGCGGCGAGCGAGGGGGGAAGTGAGGAGGAGGAGACCTCCAGAGAAGGTGGCGAGGCTTCTGAGAAGGCCCCCGCCCTGAGCTGGTTTATTCGTCTCTTCGCGGAAGGCTCCAGACATTTCTGAGACGGCCGGGGATTTCCCGAGCTTGGGGAGAAAGTCCGCCTCTCCTCACTCCCCCCCCAGGCGTACGGCCTCGTGAAGGACAGTGTGACTGTATTCCGACCCGTGGTGTGTGCCCCTCCGTTTGCGAGCCGCGGGCAGGCGGAGTCGGTGGACTGGTGAGGCCGCGCCAGCGACGGGCACGAGCTCATGCATTGGCGCTTCGCGCCATGCACCTTTGTCCTTGAAGTTTCGGCATGCAGGCAGGAGGGCGGTGAGGCAGAACGTAGCATGCAGCGGCAACTCATTGTTTCGTTTCCCAGCGTCGTCGTTGCACTCATGTTGATCAGCATCGTTCGTTATGCTCCTTGTTTCCCATTCTTCTATACACACCTTTCTTTTCATCTCGCACGAGCTGGCGTTGCCTCGAGGTCGAGTCCGCGCTGTTTTGCCGTCTTCGCTCCTCCCTTCGCTCCCGCACTCAGCTCGCCGTTCCTCGCAGCCCCTCCTCCCACGATTGGGCGCATCAGGGGCGGCGTGCCTCCGCACTGGTGGCGCGGACGGGGGGGGATACCCAAGAGTTCACTGCGTTTGAGTGTTTTTGATCTCCAGGGAATGACGGGCGTGACCGGCGGGGTGTGAGGAAGGGGGCGTGACCGGCGAGGGGTGGGGAATGGGGCCAGTCATGCCGCGATTCGTTCCGTCGGGGGAAATGCTGAAGAGTGGCTCGGGCCCAGACGGCGCCAGCGCGAGTCGTGACGCCAGTTGCAGGCGCTCCCGCGAATTGCAAGGGGGCACGCGTGCCATGGCTCCTGCACGAGGGAGGACGAGGGCCATGCAAGGCGGGCTGAGGAGGGGGGGGCTTCTTGGGGCCAGTCTGGTTTTCTCCTGTGGCCATCAGGTCGGAAACTGGAACGTATACATTTCCAGTGGTGGGCTGTTTTTCAATCCCAGGTTTTTTGTGAGGGTCGGGGACGACGTCGGGGCGGTGTGGTGTATAGTTGTTGATCAGCTCCCTTGGAAAACAACGAAAAATGTATACACCAGGGTCTTGTATACACCAGAATCCGCGTTCCTGTGCGAACATCAGCTCAGGGTCGGGAAAAGTGTCGGTGTATAGAGTTCGTTTCCCTATCATGACCATGGTGAGGAGGCAGGGGCCAGGGGGGCCCCGGGGGGGGCGGCGAGCGAACGAGCGACGACGAAGCCAGAAAGCTCCGAGCTCCGGAACGCGGTTGCGCAAGGAAGATGAAGGACTTCGCGGCTCAGAGGCGCTGCTCTGGGAGGCTAGAGTTAAGTCGGGCCTGTCCCTCTCCTGGGGGAATATTCAAACATAATAACACAAGTCGTATGGGGACTACTTTTGAAGTATATGTGGGCATCTTTATGGCATTTTGGGGGTATTCTTAATTTTTCGCCCAAAATCCCCCTGTAGGGGACAGGCCCGACGTAAGGCTAGAGGGGAGGCCAGCGGGAGACCGAGGCCATGCCTGGGGGGGACGTCGGGGGGAGGCCAGGGGAGGAGGGCGGACGACGACGAGCTGTGGGAATATACAGCGTTGCGTGGCCCAGGGGGCTGCTCTGGGAGGCGAGTGGGTTGCCCGATGGGGCGGCACCGAGCCCAGGGAAGCCAGGCCGGGGAGGGGGGGGGGCAGGTGGGGAACGTTGGGGGGAGGCCAGGGGAGGAGGGCGGAGGACGGCGAACGACTAAATTGCTGGGCTCCGCAGCCCAGCTGCGCTGTCCTGGGGGGCTAGGGGGAGGCCAGATGGGGCGGCGCAGAGCCCAGGGAAGCCAGGCCAGGGTCGTCGTGGTGGTGGTCGTCGTCGTCGTCGTGGTCGTCGTCGTCGTGGTCGTCGTCGTCATCGTGGTCGTGGTCGTGGTGGTCGTCGTCGTGGTCGACGTCCGACGACGACGACTATGACGACGACGACGACTGACTGGGGAGGCTGCCCTGGGGCGGCCAGGGGCGGCTTCCCTGGGGAGGCCAGGCGGGGCGGCGCGCCGAGGCCATGGCAGGCGGGGAGGGAACGAGGAGGACGAGCGAGGAGGGAAAAGGGGAACGAGGAGGACGAGCGAGGACGAGCGAGGAGGAACGAGGAGGCACGAGGAGGGAACGAGGAGCGAGACGAGGAGGACGAGCGAGGAGGAACGAAGAGGAACGAGGAGGGAAACGAAGAGGACGACGAGGAACGAGGGGGGAACGGTCGAGGACGAGCGAGGAGGAGCGAGGAGGGAACGAGGAGAGAACGAGGAGCGAAACGAGGAGGACGGGCGAGGACGAGCGAGGAGGAACGAGGAGAGAACGAGGAGGACGAGAAGGACGAGCGAGGAGGAGCGAGGAGGAGCGAGGAGGAGCGGAGACGACGAGGAGGAACGAGGAAGGAACGATCGAGGAGGAGCGAGGAGGAACGAGGAGGACACGAAGAAGTCAAGGGTAGGCAGCCGAGGAGACGAGCGACGACGGCGAACGACGAACATGAAGACATCGGAGCTCTAGAACACATCCGTGCAAGAGAATGACAATGATGGGCTCGATCTCCGACGCCGCGATTCTTCGTAGCGCGGACCCCCGGGGGTCTGGACTCCCTCCCACCGGGGCCAGCTTGTCACTCCGAGTCCCCAAACTTACTTTCCTGTGAACAAGCTGAAGAAGGGTTTTCGCTGCTTTTGGCTTCTGGGAGCCCTCACTGGGCCTCGGGACCGTCAAGACACGACTTAGAACAAAACGCTGGTCCTGGGGAGGGGGCGGGGATTTCCGGGGACCCCGCCTTGAGAAAAGCAAGGTGTCGGATCGCGGCGTCGTCTTTTGACGGCGCCCAGGGCCCGGGAAGGACCTTTGGAAGACGAGAATAGTCAAAACCCGTCCGTTGCAACTCTTCACGATGAGACGGGAGGCGAGGGCAGGACGGGGGAAGGAGGAAGAGGAGGATGAGGAGGAGGAGGAGGAGGAGGAGGAGGAGGAGGAGGAGGACAGGGCAGGACGGGGGGAGGAGGAGGAGGAGGAGGAGGAGGAGGAGGAGGAGGAGGAGGAGGACCTGGAGGACGCCCTGGCCGCGCGCGGCCCCAGAGCGGCGGCGGACGCGTTGTGAGCTCACGTCGGGCGTTGCGTCGTGGGGGGGGGGGGCGGCGCGGGGGAGGGGGGAAGAAAAGGGTGCGCCTTCCATGCCCTGAGCGGCCCTAAAGAGGCCCCCTGGGGCCCAAAGGAGGGGGCGCGAAAGGTGCGCGTTTCGCTCCCGCCCCCACGCGTGGCCCCCCGATTGGGCAACGCCCGATCGCCGCCTCGTGCGCCCCTCTCGCGTGCGTGCGCGTGCGGTTCTTTCTCCCCTGCGATCGGCGTTGCGAAACAAATGCAGATAATCACGACTGAAGGCCGAACTAGACCCCATCTTTCTGCGGCGTCACTTGAACTGGATCGATATGTTCTGTTCGAGGGACCCGATGCTGGGCGAAAATGCCTGATGTGGCAAACATAATAACGAACGGATCTCAGGGTCTTTCTTTGTCGTTGGGGTCCGCGTGGATGTTCAGAATCAAGGGAGGAAGAAACACCCCGACCCCTCTCATTGGCGTTTACTAGAAGGCCCTGCGCGTTTACTACAGACAGTCAGGTCAGTTGGTACGTTTGGAGACTTCGGCCCGATCGCACGAAGGTGTCAGACTGTGTCCATCCAGGCCAGGGGCCGTCGGCGCAGCCAACCTGGGGAAAATGGGTCTGGCGGCAGGTCGCGGGCGATGGGCGCAACGTGGGGCGCAAAGACGCACGCAGAGGCCCCCGCAGACGGTGACGCGGGTCTCCTTTCGGGCGTGTCAGCGTCTCCTCGGGCGTCGGATCCGGGTCGCATCCGCTACGGATCTTTTGCGGATCCGAAGCTCGGATCTTGTGCGAATTCAGGCGGCTCCTTCTAAATTTGTATGGAGTTGATCCTCTGGGTTCCAACGGTTGGACCGTCGCACGTTCTGATCACTGGACCTCGTCGTCGCCGGCGTCGTCGTCGTCTTCGCCGCCGCAACCGCCGTCGCCGTCGTCATCGTCGTCGTCGTCGCCTTCGCCGCGGCCGCCCCACTCGTGGTGTGTTGCGGTCGCCGCAGCCGTCGTCGTCGCCCCCACCTTCGCCGAGCCTGCGGGAGCTCCTGAGCGCACGTGGGCGCGCTGGCGCCCGCGCGCCGTCCGGAGTTTCAATCGCGTGTCCACTCCAGGCAAATCGTACCAACTGGATCTGACTTTCTGAAAGTCGGGGGTGGACAGAACCCCCCACCCTGACACACCGATTAGTGAATTGTCCGTCTTCGGTTCTCGAGGGGGCGCCGCGGCCGTCATTTTCCAAGCTTGCGCGCGCCCGCCAGGTTTGGGCCCGAGGTCGTTTTCGCTAAGCCGCGTTTTGCCGAACGGGGCCTGTCCATCCCCGAGAGAGCAGCCCTGCACTTCCCCTGCGCGCGTTTCCTGAACGGCTTCGCTGGTCAGCATTCCTGCGGCGAGCGGAGCAGTGCGGGCAGGACGCGAACGCCCAGAAGCTCCTGGAAGCGTGCAAGGCCGACGGAGTCAACGCCCAATACATGGAGGACGCGGGCGGCTGGTCTTGTTTGTTTGGGGGGGGGGCGCTCGGTGGCGGGGCGCGGGCCTTTTTCCGAGGGAGGGGAAGGAGGAGGGATGGGGGGGCGGAGGGGGGGAGGATGGCGAGGAAGGAGGAGGAGGAGGAGGAGGAGGAGGAGGAGGAGGAGGAGGAGGAGGAGGGAGGCGGGGGAGGAGCCAGAGGAGGGCGAGGAGGAGGAGGAGGAGGAGGAGGAGGAGGATGAGGAGGAGGAGGAGGAGGGAGGAGGGGGAGGAGGAGGAGGAGGAGGAGGAGGAGGAGGAGGAGGAGGGGGAGAAAAGGAGGAGGAGGAGGAGGAGGCGGAGGAAGAGCAGGAGGAGGAGGCGGAGGAAGAGCAGGAGCCGGAGGAGGGCGAGGAGGAGGAGGAGGAGACGGTGGAAGAGCAGGAGGGCGAGGAGGAGGAGGAGGAGGAGGCGGAGGAGGAGCGAGGAGGAGGTTCCACGCCCAGGAAGGGAAGAGTCGGTGGGGAAAGAGAGAGAGAGAGAGAGAGAGAACAAAAAAAAAACAACAAAAAAGAGAGATCATGAACACTCGGATGGGGTGCCTTTGCAAGGAGAATTCTAGACGCTACGCGTATCCCCACCAGGTATCTTGCGCTGTGCCCCAGCCTCGGTCATTCCGCCCTCTGGACTTTTCCTTGCGGGCCGCAAATCAAACAAATACCCCCACCAGGTTTCAGAGCCTCGCTGGAGGAGGCACCGGTCCACTACGAACATGATGGGGGCGACGTGCTGATCTCCGGACTTCCTAGCGAGCTCATGCGGACCCTCGTGGAGAGAAGCACAGGACAGGGCCCGCCTAATTGGTGTACCCCCTTCCAGCGCCCCTGCAGCTGCACCTTCAAGACAACCCTCGTCCCTGCTGGTCATCAAGAGTGGTGGCGCGCCCTCATGGAGCACACCCCCTTCGGAGGATCTTCGGTGCGGGACCAGTGGCCTTACCTCGGGGCTGTTGTCGTCTCCCGCGCAGCTGAAGGCGAGGTGTTTCCCCTGAGCGGGGGGCTCACTAAAGGGCAAGAAGACGCCCTAAACAAGGGCACCTGGGAACGCCCCCTTCCCGAGATGAGAGACAGAGCCATGGCCCTTCACTTGCTTAAGATGCCCCCCTCTCGCACTGCCGCCGCTTGGAACGCGTATCTCGTTTCCCTGGCTCCGTGCGCTGCCCACCACGCCCTCCCCGACATCGTGCAAGAGGGCGAGCTACGCGTCCAGCTCAGAACCGCGCCTGGCCTGGCAGGATCCTCCTGGGTCCCCGACTTCGTCCTCACCGGGTTGGGCATTCGTTTTCAAGTGCTGGGCGCACCCAGGTGCCCGGTGGCGACAGCCCGCGCTGTTGCAGCCAGAGCACACGCCCTTAACGACTTCTGGGGCCCCACTCCTGTCAGGAAACGCGCCAGGAACAGATGGAACAAGCTGCTGAAGTGGGCAAGCAAGGCTGCGCGGCAGCCCGAGGTGCCACTTCCCAGGCTGAGCGGAAAGCTGCCCGGGCACTCTGTCGGGCACGTGAACAACCGGAGCTCCTTGGGTGCAAGCATTTCGGCAGGGTTACATATGCAGCCGCATGGGCACATATGCACCACCACAACCTCTCCAGGTGGCTCGTGGACACCAGCCAGGGGAGGAGAAGGCAACCTTCTGACGGTGAAGAGTGGAGACTGCTGCGCCACTGCACTTCCTTCACCGAGGCGCACCACGTAATTCGCGTTCTTTGCAACGGCCTACCCGGCTCGGCGAGACGGAGGGGCGAAAATGAAAGGAGGCCGCACATGTGTTCATGTGGGGCGCTCGCTAGGAGCGTGTGGATCACCGCCAGTTCCAACGACGATGGCGCAGCCTGGTGTGCGCGGTGCATTTGCCCAGGCCCGCGCGCCTCCGCACAATGGCAGACGCTCGAACCCTGTCTGTTACCCCCCTCTCTTCGGGACCGAGCAGAGGCGTGCGCGCACACCCGTGGGCATCTGCACCCGCCCAACAGAGATGGACCATGCGGACGCTGCCCCCTTTGTGGGCCCGGCGAGGCAACCGCCGAGCACGCGTGGAATTGGTGCCCAGCCGCTGCACTCGCCTGGTGCACCGTCAGGGGCCCCGATGACCCGCGCACCTTAGCTCAAGCCATATCAGCAGCGGTGAACATCAGCCCTTGCTCGCGAAATTGCCGCACCAAATATCCTTCAGGTATTGCGTCAACCTCACCGCCGCTCCCCTCGAGACCACCGAAGCCGCCAAGCTCATCCTGCAAAGCATCGTTGTCGCCGGCATTGACCAACAAGGGGACAGCGAGGACGAGGCTCAGGAGGTCGAATACCCCCCCAGGATCGACAATCCGGACGAGACGTCGGTCTGGTCAGTCATGCGAGACACTTGCAGCACGTGCAACCTTGGCGCCATCCCTGAAATAACGATCTGTGGAGCCGCCAGACCTCCAATGCAGCGACGCGCCCGCAGGGCCGGAGGAGAGGTTCGCAGGCTCCCGGTGGCCACCAGACAACGCAACCCAGGGGGACAGACTCGCGGTCTTACAGGCTCCACAGTCCCGCGCTGCTTGGATGCCCCCAGGACAAGGCAGGTTCCCTTGCCCCAGAACCGACGACAATCCCACCGCCAGCTGGACCTCCGTTTTCTGCCGGGAGTGCTGGTCTCACACCGTCACCCTGACCGCCAACTCCAACCTTGAACCTGGTGACGAGGTCACAGTTCGCAGCTCGCCCTTCCCTGGCTCCAATAGCACCCAATGGCCCTGCGGGGTCTCCTTCGACGGTGGTGCTAGGAGCATCGAGGGCGCCGCCAAGGTTTCGGGTGCCGGTGCCATTCTTTGGCGCCGCGACCCTGCTACCGGGTCCCCCAAAGTATTGGCCGTTGCCATTGTAGCAGTCCTTGACTGCAGCAGCGCGCAGATGGCCGAAGTAGCGGGCTGCCGTGCGGGTCTTGCCCATCTTGCCCTGCCCCCCCACCTCAGGGCCCCTCGGGGCTGCCGGGGTGGTCGGCGACAACCTCGCCGCCGTTCGGTACGGGGCGGGCACTGCCAGATACCAGAGGCTCCACCTAGCCCGGCAGATAGAGGATGCCCTATAGGGCAGGCTGAAAGCGCGGGCTGGGTACTCACTTGGCAAGCGGCCAGACGGGGACTGAACAAGGCCGCCGACAGCCTCGCCACCATCGGGGTCTACTGGGCCGACACCCTATGCAAGGAAGGCGCGAGCACTGTCAGTACTCACATGCAATGGGCGGGTGATGCCCCCACCCGACCGGCTCACTTTCCCTTTCGCAGCGGACTTGAGGTCAACCTCTGCGACCCGTCCGAGTGTGCCGCCGCCGCGTTCCAGCTGGAAAATCCTTCCTTCTCCTCCTCCGCTTCTATCCCTCCCCGTTCGGGTCGCCGATCGATCAACCCCCGTGCCAACTGAGGTCTCTGCAGCCCCCCCCCCCCCCGTGCACAGTGTTCAGCGGCTTTTGGCTGCGCCCCCCTCCTGCAGGATGCCGAAGAGAAACAACAATGGGCCACTGGCCCGTTGGCCCTCCCCCCGCAGCCCACTTTGCTGAAGGGCCGTGCAAGGTTGATGGTATTATACCCTTTCGCGCGCGCGAGTGCCCTTGGCTCCGGCAGGCGCACTTCCACGGCGAATGGTGCTGGCGGTGCGAGGTGTGCCAGAGGTACTGCGATGGCAAGGGGCATATCCTGGGGCGGCCCCGCGCTTCCGAGGCTGACAAGCAGATGGACGCTGGCTGGCCGGACCCAAGGGGGGTTCACCTCGCCAGGTAATCTCTGGGCCAGAACGGCCAGAACGGGTGGGGCGGATTACGACCAAGTGCTCAAGATCACTTTCAGCAGACCACAATGGCCGGGCTGGACGCTGCCAGCGCCAGTGAAGGAGGGCACCTGGCCCCACTTTCCAGGATGGGCCTTCCCGGACGATTGGGACTGCCAGTCAACCTTCCGCACCGTGACGACCTCCACGATTTCGCCGCCTCCCCTGACGCCGTCCACTCGAGGGATCTGCGCCCGCCTAATCAGCTCCGGGCGGCTTGGGGGAAGGCGCCCAGAGACGCGCGCAGAGTCGGGGGTGCCACGTTGCCACCGCCGCCGCCCCCGCCCGGCGCGCGCGCCGCGCCGCCCGCGGGACCCCCCGCCACGCGGAACCCGTGGGGTGGACGGAACGCTGCCTCCAGCAGGGCCTCCTCGCAGGAATCTGCGGACTGGCCCAGGCCCAGGCGAGGTGAAGATGTGGGCCAGCACAGCTGGCAAGACGCCCCCCCCCCCGCGGTGAACAGGAGGGTCTTGCTCGAGTCATCAGCAGCTGCAGCGGCGGGCGCCATTGCCCGTCTATTCGCAGTCCCCGCCAGCAGCGCAGCAGCCCAGTACATCCTTCACACCCCCACCGGCACAGCCCCCTCGGGCGTGAATCTCCCGAGGCATTGGGAGCAGGACCTACGGCAAAGAGGGCGCACCCTCGACAGGCTAGCTTGGACTGGGCGCACGGCAGCCACTGAAACCGTCTGGGACGGCTCCACCAAGGCCAACACAGATTTTGTAAGAAGGCAGAGCTGCGCGCTGGGCGCGGCGGTAATCCCCATTGACGAACGGCCCCCTTGTGACCTCCTCGATCAGTTCAAGATGCGGAATGCATTTCCCGCCCCGACGGGGAAGATGCTGCTGCACCTGCTATGGCCCCAAGAGTTCAAGGTCCTCCTCAAGGGAGAGGAAAAATGTCAGGAAGCCCGCATGCTGCTCCTCAGCATCACCAGCCCTTCCGCGGACCAAGTGGCCACGGTCAAACTCCTGTGGCCCCCCGACCTCGGAGGTGCAGTTCCCGCGAGCGACTGCGAAGCGCTGGGCGGGAACCAAGTACCCCAGCAACGAGTGCATTGTGGCATACGACGTAGACAGATACGGGAAGTTCCACGCTGACGACAGGATCCCAAGGCCACGCGAAGTGGGGATGGCCTGGTACAGGTTGGACAAAGCCCCCCCCCCCCCCCGGATACAAT